TTCGCGAATGCTGCAACAGATTGCGTGGAGCCACAAAGCGGATCAAGTGGTGAAAAGTTGTGGAGAAATCCGCCGAAAGAAATCGAAGCTAGCGCTTTTAGACCTATGAATGAAGGTCCAAGGACCAACAACCACGTAAGCGGTCAAGCACTTTACCCAGAATGCCGACCGCCGATGCAATAGAACTCTTGCGCTGCGTCGCCGTTCGAAAGTAATACTCCGCTTTTTCCGCTCTCTTTTGTTTTGGACTAGATCATCAAGGGACTAAATATCCCTATGCATTTATCCCATTCTCTTTTAAACCCAATATAAGAAACATGGCTACTGCGCGCCGAAAAAACCGCGAAAGTAATTATTTATTAGCACTGGTTCTGGCGTAGTGAAGATTGTGTTCAAAAGCAGTACTGGATAAACATGACTGAGGCCCGTTATCTGATGTTTGGAAAGACTCACAAATTCTGTAGTAGGCAGCAGCAGTACGCACTACCGACGCATCACTGCCGCGCAACCACCACTGATCGCACGTAGGTTAAGGATACTGCGAGGGTCGCCCTGTCCCCAAGCAGTCTCTAACACGCGCGATCAGAGTACAAGGCATGCTCGTTTAGACTACGGACCAACTGTAGTAGAGCGTCTAATGAATCGTAACCGCATAGAGTACGTTTAATTGGGCGTAATCGTGGAATGATTAGCTGATGATCTGATTGAGTGGCATGAAAGAGTGGATGAGACTTGGTCAAACGAGTGCCTGCCGTCTTCTCGGATGTCACATAAGCGATCGGATGCTCTAAACGATGTGACCCAGTAGCGAAATCCGTAGAGCCTCTGCATCCGATTGATTGCAAATAAGCGATCGTCATCATCCAAATACAACCAATTCACTACCGTCAACAGCCACTGTTGGGAACAGAAACTGGAACACAAACGAATAACTCATCTGACAATTGGATCTGCTGACCTAATAAGGTACCGGGTAGGGAAGAAATGCAGTGTACCCGGATTCTGGGACAAGTGGCAGTCTATACAACATCGGATGCATGAACATTGACACCGAACATCGACGAATATCAACAGGAAGGCACCCGGAGCGTGCACCGAACACAGAGGAATGCCATAAAGATCCTCAAAACGGAGAATATAGAGGCCTCCAGTAAACAATCTAGATGCTTGACATGAAAAAACAGAGTCCTAAGGGTGAATAGAGGGTCATTTTTGAATACACGTTGTGTGATTGGACTGCGACGCGCAATCTCAATGTAAACCGTGATTCACATTGAAGTGAACCTTGGTAACGTGATCACGGGGACCGTAGCCGAAGCAGATGGAAATTAGGTGTTACCCTAAGAGGACTATCGGATTAGCGGGCAAAACCAAATACCATTCACTCGGAATCGTCTGTTCACCCCAATGCATAAACCCACCACCATTAAGATTCGGGAGGAATCTGCGATACATCGATCACAGAATCCCGATTTGGTTGAAAGATGTAGCAGACAGCCGACACTGCCAAAGCGAATGTACGGTCGCGTTCCTCTAGAGAGCACACTCAGAAAGGAAGCTAGCTTAATTAACAACGCGTTACGGTGACACCAATACTGTTTTATTTTACTGTTTCTGTACCTTCGTTTGAATCCCATGGTTTCTGATGGCATTATGTCTGTCAGCAGACTTTTGCAAAATAAATAATAAACCTAGCATAAAAAAATCAAGTAAAACTTACAACCATCCAGATATCGGGGTGTTCACAGGAAAGGTCCATGTTAGCAGCATAACCAGGAAATTAGTTTTTGGTTAGGCAATGCAATCCCGTGACATCTACCACGTGAGCAAACGGGTGGCCAATCTACATTTAAAGTGTTCTAGCACTCATACCCGTGAGTCCTCACTAATATGCAATATCCAGAAGAACGCACGCTGAGTGATCGAACCAACAAGTTAGCAGTGAGGAATAAAAAATCGAACTCAGCACTATGACGCTTCTAGCGGGGGCTCATGGATGGCAGCTGCCCGTCCAACGAAAGCCTCAGGTACACATCAGCCTAAAAATGAAAAAGTGCAGTTACGATTCGTATTCGCAGTTGTTATGCGACAGTACTTAGTGAAGTACGCGTTGCCACTTCTATGTCCATGCGCAGGCCAAGAATGGGAAGTACAGTGAGTCCAATAACACAAATTTCGGCCTTCGCATGCCGAAAACCTCCACTTAGGTTTAATCGACAAGCCTATCTCTGGACCCGCATTTCCACATAGAAAGCAATGACGAAGTTCATTGTTCACAGTTTACTCAAACTTACTCAGTACTCAGACAAATGAGCATATGGATGTGCGAGTGGCATTTTAATCGCCATCGTCGTCGTCCAACAATGCATCCCATCAGATAGTCCCACATTACCTGCTTCAGTCTCGTTCGACTTAAACTTATTGTCCTCTAGCTCCTGAGTTAGCAGGCTAAAGGAATCAAGAGAAAAAAGCGCCGGAAACAACCCAGCACACGTTCCGTTACTCATTTTGAATCTATGGGATGAGACCGATAAGAGTTTTGATCGTGAAACATCTGCACATCGATATCGCGGCATTTTTCATGATTTTCTTGATGTGCAGCACCACCCAGTCACTCTAAATTCACCATAATGGGCGCATCACGCACAGTCGAGAAACGAAGTACAATCATCCGCAAGACAAAAACAGTCCCGCTAAGAATTAAACCGGGAGACTGTACCTATCGAACAACACCTTGCGCATCAAACTACCCTGCTACTCTGAAAAGGCACGCAAACCTGGTTACAAAAAGGTTGACTTAGATTATCATAGCGTGTATCAGCAGTGAGACGGGGCATTAATTCAAAGGGCGGGTGAACAATAACAAGTACGGAATTATCATGGATCTAGTGAATTCATGGGACAGGCACCAGCATACGGAAGCACACCCCTGTTTCCATTTGATCAAGTGAAAGTGTGAACAAAGATGCGCGTAAGAACGATTAGCCAAAGATTTGCAGCAAATCAGAGTGATCAAATGAAAAGTAAAGAGTAAAAATCTAAGATCTCAGACAGCAAGCAGAACTGTGGAAAATGTAAAAATGATCCCAAAATATAACGCGTGGTCATGTGCCGAAGCAAGCGATATGCCCTGGTAGCACTGGAACAAAAGACACATACAATGTCTGTCCAGAAAGTAATGGGACTCATTTTTTCGGACAAATCATGGGAGCAGGGTAGCTGAGTTAGCAGGCGTGAGGGTTTGATAGGAACTGAGGTGAGCAATCGGTTTTTCATCAATTGGCTCCGAGCTTTTGTGCAGTGTGGATTACCTACGAAGTGGACGGCCATTTAAGCGTCGCGAAACCGTGAAAATGAAGAGGAATGTCGGAGAGCCATATGCGGTGAAAAGCACGTTACCGAAGTGTTTGCGGGAATGGTGCTGCATTAAACGAACAAAACGTTGGAAAGAGGAAGAGCGAGTACCGAAGATGAACAACGCACTGGGTGCCTATAAACCAAGCAGAGTTTGGACAATGTGGAGATAATGTTTCGGTATCCGAAAGGGTGAGGGAACACCATCCGGCCTGGCTCGGAGATGGAGATTGAAAGGCCACCAACTCTACCATCGACGCACATCTTGCGGATACGGGTCACGCCACCAAGTCGGCTTAGTAGTTCAAAGTAATTTGTCTAGCCCCAGAAAATCGACCAAAGTATATTCGTAAGCGGATATTGGACGCCGCAACAGCCATCGCCATTCGATTGTACGAGCCAGGGATGTGCACGCAAAGGTTCACTAACGTGTTGTCTACCTTGGTCAGGACGGACTGTAGTTGACCCGTGTGAGTGTGTGACTACAGCTGGAACCTGACCGACGGTTTGTCATCGCGCACTGGAACGAATATGGCTGACTGACGACCTGTTGTGTTCGTATCCAAATTTAGATTTTCATACAATTGTAAAAGCCTGATGATGAATTAAACTCAGACACACAGACTTCTGATCAAGCAATGGTTCTTTCAATTCGATTTATTTATTAAGAGCAGTTAGTTCCCTTCAACAATTTGAAAAGCACGGAAAGAAGATGAAGGCTGGTAGATGCATGCATTTCGTATTGTCTCTTCAGTACCATTAACAATAACCGATATTCATAGATATAGCTAACAACGAATGCAACCAGACAAGTTTGAGGCGCAGAACGATTGACGGAAGTTCACATCTACGTTCAAGACAGCTTTAGGCTGACAAATAATTGTTTCTGAAAACACAAGGCTGGCTTCATGCGGCTTATAGTGACAGCCTCAGCAGACCGAAGGAAGCGGAGATTAATGTGACGTAACACAACTTTAAACGCTGAGCCCAGCTACATCCGGTGACCCGAGTCTAATAGGTGTTTGCCTATCAAGGAAGCCCGCGATCTGCGCGAACATGGAATCTGACGAGGGTAGGCAATCTGAGCAACTTCACGCTGAACCCATCTTGGTACATGCTCCTTTATTCGGCAAGTCAGCGTTCTATTGGTCCTGCCTATGTAACTGTTTCCGCAGTCACATACAATTTGGTATACACAGTGTGAGTTGGTTATTGTTAATGTTGCTGAGGAGACAATACGAAATGCATGCATCTACCAGCCTTCGACGTTTTTCCGTGCTTTACAATTTATTTATTTGTGTGTTTACATAACGGAGATTGCGCATCACAATCCATGCAGCAAGAGTGCCTCAAAACGACCCCACCGATTAGTTTCGGACTCGGATGCGGATGCATATGTTAACGTGATTCTATGAGAATAGAACAGCGTCCCAAAATGGCCTGTAAATTACAGTTCAAAACCACATCCTAGTGTTAAGAGGCAAACCAATGTACAAGCAACCTGAACGCGCCCTTCCAAAGACCTCAAGTCCAACGTCCAAAGAACGGGTCTAACCTATCATTGGGAGGAGCAGTGTGAGATCAAATACGCTTTCGATAGCGAATTGGAACACGTAGGCTAATGACTAAATGTATCTCCAAAGATCCGGAAACAATTGAACATGTAACCACCTGCAAAAAAACGGGATTACAAGAAACATGTTGCAAATGCGAATTAGAGCCGATGCTAAAGTACAACAGTATATTTTACTGCTTGGCTACAGCAGCCTTAGGAGACGATGATTACAGGACGAACGGACATCGATGGCGTTCATTCACATTTCAAGGCAACAAATGCGTACAATGGGTAAACCTCGTGAAAAGTAAGCATCAATGCGTCAAGAACGTCAATATATTAACAGTCGGTGACAGGCACGAGTTTCAAATCAAGCAGAATTGGGAATACAGAAAGCGACGGAGACTTCGCAGCCGATGAAACATCGCGCACTCGTTATATGTTTATTACTTGACTGAGCTTCTGGATGCGGTTCAAAAGAAGATCGCCTTGCTTAATCATGGACTGAAAAGCACAAAGACAGTTAGACAGGAGCATGGTGTAAATAGCACATGGGAAATTAGAAAAATTATCGAAACGTGTGTAGCGATTATATGAGAACTTAGAAGTGTTCGAAAGAACATATATATATATATATATATAATATATATATATATATATATATATATATATATATATATATATATATATATACGAAGTTATCAAGATGAGTTTGCTAGTGGAGTCAAACTAAGCCGGTTGGTGGCTGCGTGGTATAGGTCTTTGCCTTATAACCAAACGTCACGGATTCGGGCCCCTGTTGGTGTCCCCGGAATTACAGTTATTGGTCAATGGTTGAACGACAGCGAAGCTTCGATGCGACTCAGGTGAACTGCGTATATGTAAAAATTGAGAATTCCTAGACTACCGATGAACGTTTAAGTAGTGAAAATCATAAACATAAGAACTCCAAAGTTCGGATTGAGGACGGGGACAAGTAGAAGTGGATCAATATTTGGTGTTGATTGCTTGCACCATGGCCGGTTTCGTAGTCGTTTGTAATCATCAGGTAAAGCAACAATGAGACTCGAACCTGGAGCCATTGTTAGCCGGACGCTCTAGTGCTATGCGACGAAATCGCGGCTGGCAACGCTTGTCACAACGAGTACTGGAGGGGTCATTTAAAAGCACACGGTCCCAGTGACCGAATTGACTGGCATTCACTTTGAACTGCATTTGGGACCTGATTGAAACTGAGTGCTGAAATCCATTCACACAAAGTAGTGAAATAATTTAAGGGGATAGAAAATAGTTACTCTGGAATTCCATGAGACACGCCGCTCTATGCATGAGCATAGTAGGGAGGCATGCATGCACCGTAGCAACGTGAGTAGATGATGGTATCGAGTGGTTCTCCAGCCGTTTGTATGACAGGAACGGATAACAGTGCGTAGAGCATCGCAGCCAAAAAAACAGATTCGTAATCATCATGGAATGAACGCAAACTTGAGAAAAAGAACACGGCTGGATACAAATGAGACGTTACGGTGTTCGGTCATCTCTGGTAGATAGCGAATGTTAGCAGCGCAGTTTAACAGATGCATTCCTTCGACAAGCAGTCCACAGTGACATTAAGAACCTACGTAGTGCTTAGACGGCCGTGAGCAAGGCTTCATAGGAAATTCACACTTGGCCAAAACCTTAGAATTAGGCAAGAAACTTCGCATTTGAACGACAAGGTAGTTTAGTTTAGTGTGACCAGTTGTTATGTTTTCCCCATAATGTGCAGCGCCATCTGAAAACAGGTATCGCCAGGAATCAACGAATGTCAGCTGAAGAACCAGTAGGTTGATGATAACAGTCCTTGCAGGAAAACAGTACAGTACATGAAGATGAATGGTCAAGTGATGCAGAGACGATCAAATAGAGTGACGACCATAGATAGGGCTTCGGTGCATCCGAACTGCAACCAGGACGATCCAACTGTGGCAACTTGATGCGGTCCATTTCCAGGTATACACAGAAAAATAATAACACCAACTCCTGATTGCATAAGGACATCATCCAAACATCCAGATCCGTGATAAGCAGTCGTGGGAAACGTGAGGTATGTGGCTCAAATTCAACGGCTGATACAACTAGGCATCACGCCCCGTTGAGGAAAGCTACTAACAGTACATCTGCACACTGTAATAAGGCTTCCTACCGTGTGATCAGAAGTGATCTCAGTAGTTCAACCTTATGAACAGAAATGAACAACATGCAACAGATATTAGTGATAGAAGATAAACAACCGGCAATTTCTTCGAAACGCGATGGCTAGACCTCTTTTGCCGGCCTAAACAGAAATCTGAACGAACTACAGCGTTGCGGACAACAAAGTGATATTCCACTGCCTGTACAGATGCCTGATACGCTGTAAAGTGACGTGGGCCCTAACGGCTGGCGTAGTAACAAGAAGTGACCCAACTATTTGAATGTAAAAAGCTCAACCAGTTGCCTGATGATCACGCGACCCGGCGGTGCGTTTACGCAAACCAAAAACAAGTACTTGCAATCTCAATGTGCGAGGCAGGTAGCGAAACGAACGCTACCTATCAGTATATACGGAGAAGCCAGTGCACGAACAGGACACACGCACCATAACGCAACTGCAGTCGCGTAGTTTAGGATATTTGGTTTGGTTACCGGTAAAGTTTCTCTCAAGCGAATCAAAAAACTGAAATATCGGGACAGTCTGCTCCCGGAAACGAAAAAACGAGTGCAGCAATCACATGCACACAAGGAAGTCAGAAAATAAGTTCCCATACGCGTACTAACCATGGCGTAAGTTGTCATAGGATAGAAATGGAGGGGTTAACCACATAGACTGCGCCACAAATCAAGTCAAAAAGACAAGCAAGTTTGGAATCATCAGTTGAAGCACAGATGAAGTGTAATTAAATAACCAAAATATTTTTCAGAAATTCGGTCCAGATGTTGATCCTATCTGTTTGAGGGCAAGCTCTCAACAAAGCTAACACACTGGTGATTCGCGTTCGATGTTCGTGGATGTGGATTTTGGACAAAAATCATAGACCCCACTGGAGGATAACACAATGTCAATGTGGAATAGTGTCGGTGTTATGTATGCAGACTTTTGCGATGCGGGAAACACAAATAGCAAAGGAGTTCAGAACGGAAGCTAGAGCTGAATGCCAAGCAGTTATGCACACAAGAGTGGTGTTCGAGGACACGGTATGAAACAAGACCCCATACAAGATAGACGATACGTTATTCGTTTGGGCTAAGATGGGATGCAGAAGGGAAATAAAAAGACCAAGACCAGTAGCCGATGACACTGGAGGAACCAGACTGTCTGGCTAGAGTGATTGGTTGAGAATTCCTACGATATTTCGGTTTAGAAAGTCCAATTCAGAAATTAGTGGAATGAGAGATGTAAAGACTATACGAAGCCTAGACTAGGTAGTCGCACGAGATGGGGCAAGAAACTGAAGGCTAGTAAACCTATACTATACACACGGTACGGGCAGAGAAATTACAACGCAAATTCCGGTTACCATGCGTATAGCATAGGTTTACTAGCCTTCAGTTTCTTGCCCCATCTCGTGTGACTACCTAGTCTAGGATTAGTATAGTCTACATAGTTGAACAGGTTTGCAATCGTAACAAAAAGGGCAGAAACAGTAAGACGTGTGGCAGCGTGGCAAAACGGTACAGCGTAGCAGTTTGTATATCGGCAGACTGTCAATGATGAAATGTTTGATAAGCCAAGAATGAGAAGTGAAAACGTAAACTGTTTCATAATACGTGTTAGAAGAAAACATGCATAAATTTCTGTAAGGATATAAGTGAAGGGTTTGGGAAAAAGGGATATTATGTCCTCAATAGGTAAACCAGTTTGGCTGAATATTCAAAGTTCTCTTTGGACTTTACAAGAGGTGTGTATAACAATCCGCAAAATAACTGTTACCCACTTGATAGTGTGAATTCACATTGTCCGGACGAGTTGTTTCTAGAACCCCAGAGACTTTGTCGATTTTGCAAGCCAGACGACCACTGGCGATAAAGCGTGAAAGTTCGGCATCCAGAAACGCCGGAGTCACTCCGAACGAAGCAGCCATGCTGTCCAAACTGAGACTACTGTAAGAGTCCAAATGTTGACTGAGCGCGTGAATACGCATCTCGCGAACATAGTAACGCGTGTGCGGACTGAGGTAGCGATCACAGCTCATAAATTGTTCCATACCAGCTAGAAGTTAACGAAGATGTTCAAAGAGTAGTCAGTAAAGTGATTACTTTAAAGAAACGAAGGTGGCAATAGAGAATAATGAGACCGACGCATGAGAGTCATTTTCCTAAAACTCCGATGCGCAAAAAGATTTGGTGAATAATCCAAGCGAAATGAAGTTTCCAAATGTTGGTCTAAATCAGGTGCTTCAGGTCATACGGATGTCGCAAAGACGAAAAATACACTTGTGAACACACGTATGATACGACGCAAAACGACTTACTGCTTATTACTAAACGATGGAAATCGATTGCGGGCTAATGTATTGAACGATGTTTTGACGATCCGAAGTGAAAAACACGTTAATAATACCGTTAATGAGAGGTTGCAATGCAATTATCAGCAAATTCATCCGCATTAACATCATCAATACACATTAGCCGAGGATGAGAAACACGTCTCAGCTAAAGTGCCGCAATGTAAAAAAGATTAAACATTACAGACCACAAAGCTAAAAGAAGTAACATAATGCCAAAAGCAAATTATGCATTGGGTTGAGATCGTTGTTGGAGGGGAAAGCTAAATGGGAGGCAAGGGAAAAAGTGACACACAGCACAAACGCTACTGAGGTCGGCACCTCGCCATGTCAGCTAGTGTAACCAACCGGACGTGTCCATGGTCCTTGGGATCCCAGTTAGGCAGTATGGGAGCATCAACAGACGCCAAGTTCGAAGTGAGGGACCTCATTCCTCTAGACCAAGTCATGGTTTGGACTCCCCTCCTCTTCTTCCATTCAGACCCCGGGCGCGCAAACAATGCACGTCGCGGGAGTCGGGGGACTGGCATGTGTAACAGATGCCCAACCATCAGAGTCTGGTGCGTGATATAATAGTGCTGAGTCGTTCACTCGATCTTTATGCACCAAATACGCGTCGAACACACTCACTGCTAATGAGATGTTCCCACCGGACATGAGCTAAGCTGCGAAGGTAGCGATGATCGAACGTAACTAGTCACTTTATGTCGGCTGATTTAATGGTCCAGGTTTCACAACCGTACAGGAGGAATGAACGGACGGCTGCATTATAAATTCTACCTTTCAGGGAGAGTGATGTCACGCCGGCGCCACAGGTAGCGAAGATTGGTAAAAGCACACCGAACATTCGTTATACCGTTCGTGAGTTCATCTTCAATCCCACGGGTGCCAATATAGCTGCTTAGATACTTAAATTCCTGGAAGACTTCTAGATGACCAATGTCAAGGGTCAGCGCAAGAGTGGGTCCCAGCCAATTTTGGAGTTTGCATTTCGAGGATGTAAAGTACAGTGCAGCATGGCACGTTTGTGAGCTGTCACAGATGAGTGCAATGTCGTCGGCATACTCCAAATCCAGAAGTCGGTCGCCTAGGAGCAGCTCTATACCTTCTAAGTCGTGCCCGACGATCGCCGTTTCCATGACTTTGTCAATGGTGAAGTTAAAGAGGAAAAGTGACTGGGGCAACTTCATCTCACACCGCTGAAGATTTTGAACAGTGCGCGTACAGCGTTCTTACTGGGTACTGTATTGTGGGAAGAAGTAAAAATTTGAATCTGTACAACTACATCGAAATATGATCAAAAAAGTAAACTATGACTTGTCAATACGCTGATCGTCTTTCACGTTCTCACGTTATATCGTTAAAAAATTGTTTAACACACAGTAATAGTCTCAAAATGCGAGATGCCTGAGGGTAATCGTTCACGGAATCTAATATCTGAAATGCACATTAAATGATCGTTTGAATAAGTGCACTGAATTCGCTCCGGCAAACTGTTCCCGACATTTACCACTCGCCGTTCCAAGAAGACATTTCCCGGGCATATCTTTCCTTGTTAGATAATCCCAAAGGGCACATCGATCCACCTTATTGAAAGCCCATCTGATGTCTATGAAAAAGACTACGGTGGGTCGCCAATAAACATGATGGTGCTCCAACAATTGAGGTAATGTGAAAATGTGATCAATGCAGCCTCGACTTCGACGAAACCTGTCCTGCTATTCGCGCAGTTGGCTTTCACGGATGGCAGCCAATCTATGGAGGACGACAGAGGCAAATGAGATCAGACTGATTCCTTGATGACTGTTGCATTCCGAATGAAAGCCTCCCTTGAAAATTGGAACTATAAAGGAGTGGCTCAAGTCTGTTGGGACAGTCTCCTGCTCCCATATATACACTACTTAGTTATGTAAAATGTATAAAAAACAGTGCCCTCGAATCTGAAGAGGGTTCCGGCGGCCTTGTTTAATTGCAGCCTTGATCGCGCGTTCGATTTCTGCGCGTGAGGGCGGATCCAAGGTGACTGCCCAAGGAGTAGAGCGATCATTGGCCGATAGAGAAGCTGGCAACTCTGATGATTGAACTGCTTCTCAAAGTGTTTGGCCCAACGCTCCAAGCGTTTTGACAGGCTGTGGCTGTCGCGTATTGTTTTGTTAACACCAGGTCTTCTGATGCCTGTTTCCCGTATCAGACGGAATAACTTACGATGATTACCAACGGCAGCGGCTATTTCCAGTCCCGATGCACGATGAGATCACCAGGTTTCGTGGTCACTCTTCAGGCTATCACGGTTTCGCCCTGAGATTTTTGTGATTCTCATTGTATTCGCTTCCAGCCGGAATATGTCGGCGAGCATCCATAAATTCCAGAGACTGAGTAGAGACTTAATGTCCAGTTTGGCGATTTGGTTTGCCACATGAAGACATGACTGCTGCTAATAAAGTCTGGGGAACATGCGGCGAATAACCTCATACATTAGTCAGTGAGCGCTTGCTTAACCCGCATGTCAGCGTACTTCGATACGCAATCAGAACACCTGGATTCACCAGTTGGCTGGTAGTTATGCGCTCACAGTGACGTTGAGAACGTCCGCAGAAACACATCCGATCGGAATATACAAGGGCATGATTAGAGTCCACCCTCATGCTCCAAATAGAGCGACAGTTTTGAACACAGCCTCTCCAGTGGTAATTAATCGCGCTGTGATCGATTTGCCTCAACGGCTGATCGGAGGCTGGTGGGTGCCATGTCATCCTTCTGCGGATGCTGTGTCGGAAGTTAGTGCTCGCGAGAAAGGGACGAGCATCTTCACACAGGTATAGCAACAGCTCACGGTTATCATTACGGGAGTCTACAACGTGTTGGCCGCCCAGATGAAGCTCATCAGAGGACAATTCTCCGACTTGCGCGTTCAGATCACCAGTCAGCACCACAGTATCCGCACTGTTTCTGTAACGGAAGAGCGCGTTCAGTTGGTGATAGAATTCACGTCTCACCGAATCAGCGCTGCTATTTGTGGGCGCGTAGGCTGCGATGACAAACACGCACCGTTTGTCCCTTGTCGGCTTCGAGACTCGGAATGAGCCAGCCTATCCGACAGCGCACATCCGACTGTTCATTGGATCCAATCGATTAGTGTAGATTCAGTACGGGGGCTGATAGCAATTCCCACATCGGCTTGGCCGGAATTTGAAATCGCGTCAACTCCGGACAAGCGCGATGAGAAAAAATCGTCAGTGTCGCATGTCGGGGATCGCAGGGTAGTTACAGAATTTGAATTCTGGAGGCGCGCGAATTAGAGCGAATAAATTCACTAAGACTTGAAGACGCATCGGGTGGTGTATTTGCTGTGTATGACGAAACTAAGCAGTCAATAACTCCCGTGGAAAAGCAAACATACCAAGGTAGCGATAAAAATCAGCATAGCGACATTCAAATAGTGACATGAGGAATTCCCGGACATTGGGCAGACTGTGAAGCACTTCCTGTATCTCGGATCCTTTGACAACCTGATAGAAATAGAAAGTAATCAATGAAACTATGAAAAGCAACTCATTCACAGATGACTGGACAATATCAATGAACGGTGCAGTGCAAACGATAGATACAATCTGGGATAAAGGTGCAACAGTCGAAGGATAGAGGCGTTGTTAGTTCATCGTGAGCAGAACAATCAAGTTCCGCTAATCGAGTTAGCGTGAGGTTACGTCAATGTAGTAGCAATATAACGGTTGAGGAACAACTATTTGAAAGTGAAACGAATCGAAACAAAAAGTAAACAATGAATGGCTAGGTAGGTAAAAGCTGAAAATAACTGTGTGGATACAAAGATGTTGCTAGTTTCCTGAATTAAACAGGTCAGTACACGCTTGTAGGTATGAAGTAACAGCGACAGTGAGTTACACGATTATGAAGACGTCAAGATATTGACTCCACGTCCTTTGTTATCAGCTCAGAGAACTTTTAAGCTTCCGATGATGTAGGGTGTTCTTGACAAGTAAGAGATGCTGAGGTAAACGGCCGCGGAGCTTGTGACGGATGTGACCAAAGATGCATTTGGCAGATAGTTCAGTGCAGTATCAGGCTCACTGTAAGCACCAAAGGGATAATTTCGATGTTGCTTATTCGGCGTTCCCAAATGATCTCAGCAATGAGTAGCGCTCGATATGTATAACGATGCATAAAAGTGTTGCCCGCTACTCGCAGCACGGCACTACACGACCACCAGTGTCGAACTTATTTGATTTCATTAAGTGAAAATGGCAGGGCCGCGACTCGAAACGATGAGGCGGTGATTGGGATGCTAGCCGAAGTATGTACCCCTACACTACCGTGTCGAGGACAACAACTGATGGGGTGTAAATGGGGTGTGAACGGATTGTGACACGCATATCAATCTAAACCGCGATTCACTTTGAAGTGATCGGATTGGCTGAGATTCACTTCGAAGTGAATCGCGGCTTATATTGAGACTGCGAGTCACAATGCGTATATACAACGGGGCTTATAATTAACCAAACTGGGTTAAAGACGCTGTTTCTAACGTTTCTAAACACGCATCAGCGATACCAAGCGATAACTAAGGTGAACTGTCATTATAAAACAGTTGGATACAGTGAATAGTGGTGCTATAGTGAGTGAAAAACCAGTTGGGACACTAATGGTTGCAGTTTATAGACAACCAGTGAGCCACCTCACTAGCTGCAGCAAGATAACGACAAGTAGGAGAATTCCTCAACTTGCTTGCGCCCCGCTGTCACCTTCCAAAGCGAAAGAGAGGGGACGACTGGCATTGTCCTTCATGACGTATTCATATTGTGATTCACGTAGTCACAGATGGATTAACTAAATGTGGGTTGACGCCGACCACCAAGTAAAGAGTAGTGTCAGGAGTCCAAGTTGCAGTTCACATTATTTAGAGGCACATAGCAAAGCTTCAAAATTGGATTTGATGAAAATGGGAATTGGACAAAAAGACGATCATGCAGAAAACAGAAGCAGGGACGACCTCTTATGTCTGGTGGGAGCAACGCGTGAACACTGAGTGTGTTCGGCGTCGCGTATTTGGTACAGGGAGTGCGAGTTAACCGCTTAGCAATAGGCTCTCATGGCTGGGTCACATGTTGCGCATGCCAGCACACCGACTGCAGCGTCGTGCGTTGTTTGCGTGCCCGCAGTCTGGACGGAAGAAGAGGAGGGGAGGCCAAAAGATGACAGGGTCGAGAGGAATGAAAACCCTCACTTCAAACATAGCGTCGGCTGGTGCATCTCGACTACCGGACTGGAGCCCCAAGGACGATGAACACGTTTGGTCGGATACACTTGATGTGGCGAAAAGCTGGCAGCAATGTCGCTTGTGTTGTGAGTTTCTTTGTCCACCCCATCCCTTTTAGATTCTTTATCCAATGTGATCACATACCAAATGCATAATATGATGTTCAACATTATATTACTTGCCTTTAGAATTTTTTTGTATCTTTTGTATTGGGGCACATTAGCTGAGGTGTGCTTCTCACCCTAAGTTAACGTGCACTGATGATGATGATGAGATTTAAAGCAGAGCAGTGGACCTCTACGTGACAGCTGGTAAGTGCAGTTACTGGAGCAAGTTTCCCCTGTCACAGCCGGCCGGTAGCTTAAAGGTAACGAACTTGTCTTGTAATCTGACGACGCAAGTTCGAGCCTGAGTAGGGACAGGCCGACCCTCGCAGTATCCTTAACCCGCGTGTGACCTGTGGTGATTGCGCGGTAACGAAGTGTCGGTACTGCGTACCGGCATACTGCTGATGCCTTTCCTTTACAGATGAGGTTCTTCGCGGTAACAATAGCATCCATGGCTCAGGTGCATGCTCCCCATCCACCAAGGAATTTCTGGTCGGGTGTCGTCCCAATAAGTAGTGTGGAAATATTCGTGGAACGAAATCGTCCTTTTTGCTTACATCAAAGTGATAGGAACAGCAAGTTGCCCACTGCTCAGACGCAACCATCAGCGCAGACAAGTGATCCAGAGGACGCGTTTACAAAGCACCAGTTGGGACAAGTGTTGGCCGAGTGGGATGTACCTGACCTCTACTTGACAAGTCACTGGTTCGAACATGCAGTTGAACTCGCGGTATCCCTGGCCAGTGCGCAGTTCGTGATGATGGTGTGACAGCGAAACGTTGAAGTGAAGTACCTACGTATTTTTGAAACCACTACTAGTTACAATGCTGGCAATAACGCAGTAGGTCCAACTGGATGGGTAGTAAAGGCAATTGAATCGTTGTCTTCAAGAACACGTGTGGAAAAGCATCGAAAGGTGTGTGGTATAAAAGCCGAAAGCTATAGTGGAGTAGCGTGAACTACTCGCAAACAGTAACAAGGTAGTTGGAGAGAACCAAGTTAGTCAACTTGAAAATCTGTGTTCAAGACATCAACAAACAAAGCTGAAAGCAAAAACGATGGAATTATTGTCAGAGACCTATCGCAACAAATTCAAGAGCGCTTGCAAAACGGATATTCATAGAACGAGGAGGCAGCTGGTCAATTTCTTGAAACCGAATACTTGTTTCTGCTGACACACAAAGTATGTGCAAAGCGTACCATCAGTATCCTTCAACAAGTAACTGAAAGCACATTGACCTACAAAACCCAATCCACGTTGAAAAATAAGGTAAAAGCGTCCAAATAAAATCAGACGACTAAAGAGCACTAGAAATAGCTCACGGTTAAGCTTGTTGACATAGCTAATGTTCATCTTATGAATCTGACTCAACAATCCTGCTACTTAGATAACAGTCAGAAAAGCATCCTAGGTGATCTGAAAGCCATAGGTGCGTTCATTTTAATAAGATAAAGGTATGTAGGAGATGTTGTTACTACTGGTAAATCGGGTTACAGAAACAAAGTGCATGAGATGAAGCCAAATTTCATCAAAAAAATAAAGGGAACGCATCATCATCATCATGATACATTATTATAAACATTAACTAGAGGTAGGAAAGACCTCAGCTACTGTGCCCCAAAAGCAAAAAAAAAGAAAAAAACCCAACAGGTGCAATCCAGCTGAGCTACCGGTAACGGATGGGAATCGTTCTGGTGAGCTATCGGCCGGCTACTGTGCATCAAAAAATTACTATGCAAAATTATATAAGGCTAAATAGTGAGATCGTGGTTGGAGGGGGAGGCCAAGAAGGATAGGGTGGGACAAAGAAACTCACAGCACGAACGCCACTGAGGTCGGCTCCTAGCCATATCAGCGTACCCAGCAAAACGTGTTCATCGTCTTTCGGACCCCAACCACGGAGCCGAGACGCTCCAATCGAGGCCAGCTTCGAAGTGAGGGCCTTCATTCCTCTTGACCAAGTCATCGCTTGGCCACCACTCTTCTTCCATCCACACCCCGGCGCGCAAACAACGCATGTCGCGGGAGTCGGTGGGCTGACATACGTAACACGTGGCCTAGCCATCGGAGCCTGGTGCGTATAATGACGCTGCTGAGCAGTTCATTTCCTTTTCCTGTGCCGTAAACAAGGTGAAGATGTGGTCAATGCAGCCACGACCTCGGCGAAATCCGGCTTGCTCTTCACGAATATGGCTTTCACGAGCGCCAGTCAGCCTGGAAAGGATGACAGAGGCAAGCAATTTGGAGGCGATGGAGATCGGACTGATTCCTCTATGGCTGCTGCATTCCGATCGTTAGCTTCCCTTGAAAATTGGGACTATGACGGAGCGGCTCCAGTCGGTTGGGACAGTTTCCTGCTCCCACAGTTTCACTAGTAATTCGTGTAAATTATCCACAAGAGCAGGTCCCCCGAGTTTGAAGAAGGCTGGAGGAAGATAATCTGGCGCCGCGGCTTTACTTAACTTCAGCAGTTCGATCTCACGTTGAACTTCTGAGCGAGAGGGTGGATCCAAAGAAACAGCCCACGGAGTAGGGCGATCAGTGGCCGGCGAGAAATCTAACAATTCCGACCGATTAAATTGCCTTTCAAAGTGCTCAGCCCAACGCTCTAAGCGTTTTAACAAGCTGAGGATAGGCTGTGCACTATCGTCAAAATTTGTTTCACTAACACCAGGTCTACTGCTGCCCGATTCCCATATCAGACAGAATAACTTATGATGGTTACCAAGGGCAGCGGCCATTTCCATCTCTGATGCACGTTGAGACCACCAGGATTCGCGGTCTCTCTTCAGGCTAGCACGAAGTTTTGCACGGAGCTCTTTGCGAGTTTCATTGGGTTCGCTTCCAGCCGGAATATGCCGGCGAGCACCTATAAGTTCCAGAGACTGTGAAGAGACCCAATGTCCATCTTGGTGATTAGACATACCACATGAGGATTTTCCTGCTGCTAGTAAGGTCGGGTGAATATGAGACCAGTGAACTTCAATTGCATCCAGTGAGCGTTTATCCAACTCGCATGACAGCGTACTTTGATAGGCATTCAGAACAGCTGGCTTCGCCAGTTGGCTGGTGTCAATGCGCTCACAACGTCGTCGCGGGCGTCCGCCAAAGCGCATCCGCAGGTAA